TTAGCCAAACCAGGACAACTGCACACGCCAGAGTTAATATAACAATGAGGAGACTTACTCATCAGACAAGGTGTACTTTGGTGAATGACGTCCATAAAGATAGGTGTCTCCTCCTTGGCTCCAAGTACATGTTACTATTCTCATGTCTTGCGTGTGGCAGGAAAAATCATTAGGTGTATCAGGTGGTTCTTGACAGAGGGAATAACCAAAAAACCATCAACAGCATGGCAGCCAAAGCAAAAGTCATCAACTTCTTTACTATACTAACAAACTAGAAATAATGGATATGTACAAAGTCTTATTTACTACAGATGCTATTATTTCATTTATACCTATTCAATGACCACTCTGCAGAGAAAATCAGGATAACACCATAAATTAATTGCAATCCAAACACTTCTATATGTTATTATTTTTTGTTATATTCATACATTCATTAATTTAATCTGTATTGTTTTCTATATGTAAAAATTGCTACTAGTCTTCGAAAGGGTGGCTATGCTGAGTTTTTGCCACATGCACACAGACAATGAAGCTGAACTCTTAAATGGGTAGGTATATTTAAAAATCACTCACCTGTCCTGGGATCAATTAATGAGGTTAATCTGAACACATTTAATGCTATTCTTTAATGTTTTCTATATGCAAGTGTACAGATCTGAAGTCAGACATTAAACAGAGTTCAGCTGGACATAACAGGACAATGATAACTTACAGGAAGCTTTTTTTTCCCCTCCCCCCTTTCCGCACATCCCTTCTTGACTTAATAACAACAGGAAAATATAACTGCAATAAAGTATTCACTTACTACCCACAAATAAAACTGCATGATCATAGCAGTGGTCTTCATTGCAAGACTCTTGACAATAGACAGTGATGTGAGGCACTTCTTGATGTGCCACATTTTTCACAGTGAGAAGTTCGACTTGATTGTTTGTGTGATTGAAAACATCAACAGCTGGGACTACAAAGAATTCCTTAATTATTTGACCTTTCCTTCCAATGCAGCAAAAAGTGATGTCAGAGCCTTCCTCTACAATTTTTTCATTTGGAAAGATTTGCAGTTCACTGTTATTTGAAGTGTCCAGGCCTGCAAATTAATACATAATAAACCATTTCACAATCTGCTTATGGCAGCAGCCTTCAACCAGAACACATAACTGAGCATTTACACAAGAATTTGCTAATGCTATATTATCCATTCATGGACTTTTATTTAGTATTCTTGCCCATACAGAGATCAACTTCACTTGTAATGATACCTGGATTTGTAGTCCAACAAACTGACCAAGAGACTAAATCCAACTCACTGCCTTTCACTTAGGGGAAACAAAGACTCTGCATTCAAGAACTGCCTTTACAGAAGAACACTACCTCCTGAACCTATGAGCAGGCTGATGCTTACAGCCTTGCTCATAATCTTGAAGATTATGAGCAGGGGGCCACAAAATCTTCATGTTCTGAAACTCAGGCAGAGCTCAGCTAAGAGGAGTCAACATTAAATAAATCAGATCAGTAAGGGGATACTCAACTTGGAATGAGACTCCTATGGCTTCCAATGTTGGACTTCTTGCTGGATGCAAATTTAGTGGGATTTAAGTGACTTACAGGCTTTTGCACAAGTTGGAGATAAAATCTACTCTCAAGAATCTAATCCAAAGATCTGATGAAGTCTAGAGTCACTATCTTTCAGAGAGCTCTGAATCAGGTCTGCAATGCTGGATCAGTTTGTGACAACAAAATAGTATTTTTTGATCCCTATCCAATTTCAGTTGAAAAAATAAAATCTCCAAGATTGAGGTTAGTGAGAAAGAAAGAAAGGGAGTCTTTCATCCTATTTCCCGTTATATAAGGAGAGGGAGTTGGGCAATTTATGTGCCATAATCCAAGTATACAGACCTGTGATGCTTCTACTACCCATAGTGTCTCCTGTAACTAAAAGCCCTTGCTGCTCCAAACAAGAATGTTTCTTTACAAAATCAATGTAGTCATTTTTTCTAAATTAGTTACACATTCTGTTTAAACTAAATTCTCTTGAAACCGAACTCTTCTAGTAAGACATTGTATTCTGAAAAAAAAAGGTTTTTGTGATATTGTTAACCACATTATCGGTTCACTCCCTGTTTGCTCTCATATAAGACACAGAAGTTCATTCCAAGTGACATAAGGAGCTGGCTTGCTCCTATCTCTCTGCTTCTTTAATACTAATCAAAGCTATGAACCCCAGACAAAAGCAAGACATGCATCAGATGATGTAGCCATAGCTACGCACTTCCTCTCCTCTCCCTGTCTGGGCCACAGTGGTGTCTGACCTGGTGATAGGCTACACTAGAGCCTATCCAAGATCCCATGCCACTGTATGTACTGCATCATTTTAATGTGTGAGAAAGAAACGCTCTAAAACTTTTGATCTACTAGTTTAGTAAGATAGTCTGCAAATTAAAACAATGGCCGAACCATTGCTATTATTGCCAGGAAAAAAAAAAAAAAAGAGTTGGTTAGTGCTTAAGAGATGAAAGAGTTCAAAATTAATTCTTGATTTGATGTCAACTCTCCTGAATTAGACTTCACCATTACAGTCACCAGTGAATTACAATCTAGCTTTGTACTGGAAAAAATAAAACCAATATTGCAAAGTCTTGTTTTGCTTACCCAGGACAGTCTCCCACAGACTCCACTGACTCCAGATTTTTGACGCTTCTGCTTTGCTCCTGATTCTCACCGAGTGTGACATACACTCCAAAGGTAAGTCTGAATCCCATATCCATTGAAGAGGCTTTCCTGATTTATCAAGTGTGATGTTATGAAACTCCTACAAACAAAGGCCAGTAAAGCAAAGTATTGAAAACACAAAAATGTGTAGACACTTTGGAAGTACAAGCAAAAGCAGTGAGAGCGAGAAAAAGTTCAAAGGAGGAAAATGCTTTTGAAAAATGAATCTCTGGAACCCCACTTTCCACACATAATCTCACACTAAGTAACTAGTAAGCTAAGTAACTGCTTACAAATCTTTACTAGCAGCTGTGCAGTGCCTGATGGGCTGACAAGACTACTCGATTCTGACAACATCCTTGTGGGTCAGGCCCTGCTTCTCATGAAATGAGTTTGTTCTCAGAGACTTTCAGTGCGTTATTTATGCCTGCTATTACATGACTAATAGCATGCACAGATGCAGCTGCCTCCAAGTCCACCTTGTCTAATGCACTGGGTTACATATCCCTGGCT